AAGAAATCCAATGCTTATAGTCAATGCTTATATTCATCTTTGCTAATAATTCTAAACTCTCAAAATGGGGTTCCCAGAAGTGCTAACAAGGACCAGTGATCTAAATTAACATTAATTACTCCCTTTAGGTGGAAGATCCACCAAATACTTAAGTTCAGATCAGCCAGAAACTGCCAGCACAAGGGGCTTGAATGATTTAATAAAACAGCTAGTGATAGATTTGAATTTTTTCATGGCTTAATGATTTTTTCTTTCATGTGGAACTAGGAGGCTGGCAGTTTGCAGAGTATAGCAGGCACGACATCAGAATTTATCCTCAAGTTCTTCCTGCTAGGGGCTGGAAGGAGAGGGCTGACAGGGTGTGGGCTGTCCAGCTGAGCTCATGGTAAGGGGCGCTGTGAGAAAGTGTTCAGGCCTAACAGTGCGTGTTTGGCTGAAGAGACTGAACGGGGAGCTTACCAAAAGCTGTGTACCAAAAAGACTGCTCAGTCCAGCAGAAGGCAATGTTTTCTTATTTGTCTGCCCACAGGGGATGCCTTTTTCTAATTCTCACAAGGACTAGCGCCATACAAGAGATTCAAATTGTCACTGCAACGCTGAGCCTAGTAACAGCAGTTGCCTGAAATTAACATCTCTTGTGTGATCCACAAAACCAAACACCCTGGCTCATTCTGATCATTACTTCTTTCCCTGTTTCTGCATTAAATCATTCATAAGCCTGCCATGAAATCTCTGTGTTCTAAGTTCAGCTCAGTGACTTTGTGAGCTAGAAACTCTCTGTTCCTGCAGATTACTCTTTTTTGCTGTCTATATCTCAAGAGACTGACCTTCACAGGTGGCATCAAACAAGTTTACTTGCCTCTGACTTCCATCTGGTTTGGCCAATGAGAGGTCCTGGCAGACCAGTAGGCTGCCAGGTGGGCTGGAGCAAAGATTGATTAACGCTTCCTCCCTGTGGGCCACAGGTTGGCAGTGTCCATGTCATGGGCTGAATTAAGACCCCGCCAAATTAATATATTTAATTCCTAACCCCCAGTACTTCATAATGTGACTATATTTAAAGATGGGACCTTAAAGGAGGTAAATAAGTTAAAATGAGATCATTAGGTGGGACCCTAATCCAATATGACCAGTAGCCTTATAAGAAGAGGAAATTTGGACACAGATCCAGGCACAGAGGGAAGACCACGTGAAGACTGGAAGGAGAGAAGCCGTAGAAGAAACCAACCCGTCAGCACTTGCATCTTGGACTTGTGAGCAAATACATCTCTGTTGCTTAAGCTATCATGTCTGTGCTATTCTGTTATGGTACCTGAACAAACTAATACAATCTCTCGACCAGTCACAGCTGCAGTCCATGCCCCCACTCCTAGAGCTCCAGTTCTCTACCTGGGCTTGGATCACCGCATCCTTTCCTTACCCCTTCAGGCTTAGGAGAAAACAGGAAGGGCCCCTGCTATTGCTTCCCTATCACTGCTTTCTGTGAACTGTGCACATGCCTTTGTAACTACCTTTATTCAATTCTCTTCAGTTACCCCACTCCAGTGCACCAGGTGTTTACTTGCAGGAACTTAGATGGATCCACTTGTTTCCCTCACTATTTGCTTGAGCTGTTTCTAAAATGTAATCCTACCTAGCAGAAATAAACCAGAATGGATTATCAGGTGACACCCCTTCTGTCACACTACTGTGTAAAAAAGTATTTTATAAGATTTCCATGGTGACAAGAAGCTGTTGGAATATGCAAACAGCTCTGCAAAAATGAAGATACTGAATTGTAACTAGTGAGTAAAAAACTGACTGTTTTGACAAAAGAAATATATGCTATGGAGAGAACACTTTGAAGGTGTATATTTAGAGTTGTTTCCACCATTGAGAAATGTTGGTTCTGAAAACAATGTTACCTCTATTAAAAATCCTAATATGTACATATGTTGAAAACTGAGAAATGGGAATTTTTCTACATTGTTTTAAAATATTTTAAATGAGAGGCTGGGTGCAGTGGCTCATGCCTATAATCCCAGCACTTTGGGAGGCTGAGGCGGGCAGATCATGAGGTCAGGAGATCAAGACCATCCTGGATAACACGGTGAAACCCTGTCTCTACTAAAAATACAAAAAATTAGCTGGGCATGGTAGCATGTGCCTGTAGTCCCAGCTACTCAGGAGGCTGAGGCAGGAGAATCACCTGAACCTGGGAGGCAGGGG